GCACGTCTACAGAAAACTTTTGGATCGTATAATAATATTCACGTGACATCTACTGTGCATCTACGACTTGAACAAAGTAGTCTAATAATTTCTATAGAAAAAAAAAAAAGAGTAGATACATTGCTGGGTAATGGTAATAAATAAGACACCGTCTGTTAAATAAGAAAATGAAGGACGTAGAGTGCAATTTTTCTTTTTTCTCTACTCCTATTTTACTTTACCTCGAAAATCACATGGTTGAATGTTGAGGGATTGGTTGATGGCATATCTTCTTTCGGCTTTCGAAGTATCGCGATTTCTTTCGAAGAGTGCCGCGCGATTACGGGAAGGATAAAGGTTTTCGAGCAGATTCGACTCCGTACACCCTCCCGAATCTTTTGCCGCAACCTTTCAGACTCGGGTCGAGCGCATCGGGTGCCGTCGTCTGCAACAAAACATACAAGGAACTCGATACTTCCGGTGTCTTGTGTTGTAAAAAATAAACGAAAATTTTTCATTTCCGAATAATTTCCAGAAATTCTCGACCACAGTATTTTCTAATCTAAAACAGAAAAAGAAAACTTCTTTCCTCTTCTGTATTTATTCTCGTACAAATATACAGCGTACAAATATTATCTAGCTCGGAACTACCTTACGATTATTCAAGATACTAAACTTTTTAAACATGTTTCAACGTTAAACGCTATTACACAATATTTATTCCTACTTTTTATTTTACACACAGTTTTCTTCTTTAGTGTGCTTTAGTGTGCTCGGTACGAGAATTGTTAGACAATTCTTCTTCAAATTGGTAGAAATCGTAACAAATAGAATCAAAATTGACGACTGTAACATTGAGAACAGGTTAGGAGGTGGAAAATGTGGCGCGTTCTGCTATTGGTCGACCAAAGATAAGATTTTGGGGGACAGTAACGGAATGTTTATGGCCCCGAGTGTTTTGGGTCTAGTGAAGAGTCTATTGTTCGATTATGGCGCCGGTACGGGAGTGTATGGTTATCTGCCGAACGTCGCCACCTCGGCAAATCTGATTAACTCGTTTATTATGATAATCCGCCAAACCGAGGCTTCGTTGCGCCCTAACGGGGTCGCAACATAATTAAAAAGAAAAAAAAAAATTGAAGAATCACGAGAGTTCCCAAGGACCGATAAAATGACGACGCAAATGGTCACGTCGCGACTATGTATGTATATCTAACAGAGAAAAGGTACACAAATGTAGGCATTTTTATTGTATCTTCCATGAATCATTTCTACAAACGAATGTTTCCTGACGCACAGCAAATATCGATGTATTCGATTTTTAGTTTTGCGGACTTCATCGAGCCAATCTGATAACTGTAGAAGAACTGTAATATCTAAATCATACAAAGGTTTGGCAATATTTACCGCAGATAGCGTTTTACTTTCAATTATTTATTGATCTTCTTCGATTGAAACATTAGACAGTGTAACACCAGCACAGATTATAAAACTACGTGAAACTAATTCATTTTGTACCATTTTCATGCATTGCTACTTCTTTTAGTAACAGCGATTAGTATAAACGAAGGTAAAGCACAACGAAAAAAAAAAAAAAGAACAACGAGGATATGTAAATTCTTCTGTTTCGAGTAAAAAACTGTCTCAAGCAAGAATGAGGTAACTTGTTTAGGCGAAGAACGTCAAAATATTTCATTTTTTATGCATATCATTACCGGATATTACTACATAAGATTACGCTTCTGATTAAATTATCTCGTTTCGAAGCAGGAAAAATAGCTTGTTCTTTTTATAGAGGACATTTAACACACTAATTGTGTTTGATAAATTTTAATAACCATTTATGGTAAATAATGTTATTTAAAATAATTATGATAAATCTTAGAGTTAATTTATCGTGAATGATATTATTTAAAATGAATTAATTTTTTCATGCTGGTACAGTTTATAAATAATTCCTTATTTATAGACACAAGTTTTTGTGAGTACAGTGACCGGAAGTGTTGCTTAGAAACAATCAGCAGCACCGGTTTATTGATAAAACGATAGTAAGATATTAGCAGTCACATTAATGAATTCAGAATGCTACAGAAGTAACGACCTCCAAAAATATTTGTTAAAAAACTTGCAACATGTATCTTACCGTCATTGTAAACGATTGTTATGGTGATAATGCTCATTACAAACTTGAGTATATAAAAATCATGATTTAAAAAATATTTGTATTAAACGCTGTCTTTAGTGTTCTCTTTTATTTTTCAAAGTTTCAATAATTATTATTCTCTTTTCCATTCATCAATTTGATAACGACACAGGTGGTAAACAGTACTGTCAATGTATCCAGAAATTATGTCAATTGAATACTTTTCATCACTTAAAAAGTCATCAATTTTCGATCAGTTTTATATTACACTACTCAAAGAGTTCTTTAGACACTTTTCCACCCAGAAAACAGAATGTTTAACTTTTATAAAACTATCCAGCTTGATGTTTAACTTAAGTGAATCTTTATTACAAATTTTTAATCAGATTTTAATTAAAAATCCTTTATTTCACTTTTACACAAAAATGGACCGTTAAAGGTTCTCCAAGAACCTTAACTTCACCGATCACAAAACAGCACTTTTCTCACTGAAGTGCATTCCAATATTTCAATTCTGTTATACTGTCACATCGTGTGCACCAAAGCAAACGCAAGTTCTTCAACACATTCGAATATTCTGCAAAAATCGAGTTTCTTCTCTTAAAAATTTCTGCATTTGTTCACTTAAGATTTTTCAAACAAGCCAATTCACGAATTGACAAACGACAAACGACAGCCTGTTGCCGGCAAAGTCGATTCGATCGAAGAAACGTAGTAGACGTGAGCAACCCTTCTCGAGCAAGGAGCCTCGCTCGACTGACAGATCGATTGGACTCGGGCGACTGCAATGAATGAGTCAGGCCCCGGGGGATTGGTTTTAATGCAAATGCATGTGGTGGTCACGTTTTATCGACTGCAACGACAATTATTTATAAACAACGGCCAAAGGTCCCGGGACGTAGCGTCGTGGAATGTGTGAGGAATAAATACGAGATGAAGAAATCTTATCGATTCTTCGAACTGTCCTGGGACCTTTTGAAATAAACAGAATAGGAAAGAGGGAAGTCCGGTCTGAAAAACTGAAGTAGATTTCTTTCGTTTGTTGACGGTTGTAATTCAACTTGTAGACCCACCTTACATATAAATTACAAATATAATTTTTTTTTCCAACATTGGCGGTCACCCATCTTAACATTAGTCGCGAGGCATGCAGCTTGACTTTGGAAAGCTACCGAAGAGTCACTCTACCCGCTCCCCATTTCTCCCAGGATAAAAACAACTGCATTCTTATATTATTTAAAGTTAGAATAACTATAATAAATTTACTACAGTCATTTGACATAAAATAATCACTTCTAAGTCACATGGTGTTATGAAGGGTGAAATTAAAATCTACAATCGAATCGAAATGTTATATGCCACGAAATGCTTGTTTATAGCAGGTGAAATATTTTTGCCTTTATTCATTATTTATTGGATACTAAATTTTTGTGAGTGTTTTAAAATAATACGATTGCAGCACGTTATTCTTTTGTTTCAATTGAATTCCGAGAATCTTTGTTAATTCATTATAAATCCTTTATTATTAACTGATTAAGGTATGGATTAACTACTAAAGGTATGTTCATTGATAGGAAGTATCTCGTGAGAAGAACTGTGGAATGCAACTGTACTATTTCATAGAGAGACTTTATCGATACTTTGAAGCATTGGAAACTGCTTTAGGCAGCAATCTTTCTCGTTGATGCATAACAATAATAACAGATACGATTATAGAAGCGCATACCTTTACAAATAAGAAACTAGTGTACATTTTTTAAATGAAAAACTCGATATTCCCAAAAGATGAATTTCTCTTCGCATAATTGATATTAACAGGAACAAGAATCTACAAGGAAAAGAACTATTATTTATATTCGACTACTTTTAAAATATCAGTCGGCGATATTTTCTTGCCTCTTTTCTCGATTATTTTTCTTTCATATTTTATTAAGAAACAAGCGTACCGTTGCCAAAAATAAATACAATCAGGACCACTGTTCAATTTCTACGTCCTCGTTAGAGCATCTGTTTCTTTTCCGTCGTTCAAACCTGGCGCTCCTTTATGCTGCATTTTTTCCTCTCTTTTTTGTTACACATCACACGCAGATGTAATTGACAGAAATCCTCGGAGTATATTAACATAATTTTGCATCTCCAACGATTAATTAGCACACGTTATTCAATTGCAATTTCCAGAGAGGTGTGTGAGTGAGTCTGTTTCAGAAGCTGTGACCAAGATTACGCGTAGTTAACCAAGCAAAATGAAAAAATGAAAAGCACTTGGATTTATCGTCTTAATTTTTACATCGATAAATTTCACTATAAAATCTAGAAATTTCTCTATTACAACTGTATTTTACAATTAACTGTACCACTGACTATTTTTACCTTTTAGTTAATTTGCAGAAAAGAAAAACAAATTCGTCGAGAATAAAATCAAATAAGAAAGCTGATTTACGCGTACAACTAAAGTAGTACCGTTCTTATCAAAGTACCGCTTAAAAAAGAAAAAAACGATTTAAATGGAATTTTCATAGAAACGATAGTGTTTACAAACTTTGTTTCAAATGATTGTATAAACAGAGAGAATTATAGCGCGTGGGATACATAAAGTGCCCTTATAGTACGCGAACGTGTGTAAAATCTACGGTAGCTTGTGAATCACGGTTTCGTTAAAATTAGAGCCAGTAGAACTGAGATACCGGAGAGACATTGGCCACTGGGGTCAAATAATTTTAGCAAAAATTTCCCCTGTCCCAAATATATCTTTCGCACGAGGGCGAAACTAACGTTGATAATCTGGGCGCCAATGAACCCTTAAATTATCAACGTTATTTTTAATTTCGAACAGATATACAGGGTGTTTCCGGGTTTTCCCAGATAAACCGTAGAAACCTAATCTACGAGTGAAAATAAGAAGAAAATTTATGAAATTCGAGTGTAAACGTTTTGCTACAAAGTTACGAGAAAATATTCAGCATGAAATAGTGATTGATAGTAACTTTCATTCACGTTGAATCGTCTGAAGACACAACATTCGTTGCTATCTACATATGTATCATCATTTAGAAGCTGAATAATTTATATGATTTAATTATAATTTCAAAACAAAATATATAAAATTCAAAATGCAAAATTCTATGAAAAAGAGAAAGGTAGAAGAAAATAACCACAGAAAGCGATAAATCGATAAATGTGCTTAGAATTTTACTCTAAATTACTTGCAAAACAAAACGCTATTATTATGTATTTTCCTCCTCTTCAGATGATGGTTCTTCGGTAAAATAATCATTAATCACAGGTATACTGTCGATAACGGT